GAGGTACACACAAACCAACATATACATATACCCAAGCACGTATCCAGGATCAATTTTCGGGGGGGTTTAAAATATTTTAAAGACGTATGTAGTTAGTTTTTGTTACCTATATTATAAATATATACCTACTTTAAAAATTTCGGGGGGGGGGGGGTGAACCCCTAAACAAACCCCCCCCCCTGTATACGGGCCTGCATCTACCTATTAATGGCGCTATATTTTTTATTTAATTTTTCGTTGGCCTAGTGGGGATTATACATTAAAAATGACATTGGTTCTTCAAAGTCAATAGACTCAAAAAACTAACTGACCGTTTTCAATAAAAGTTATATCAATAGATTCCTTGAGATCTTGAGGGTATATAGCTCCTATAGAGACAAATGATGGTCAAATAGTGGCTCACAACTGATTTTTTTCCAGCTTACGAAAAAATGGTTGCCATTTCTTATGCGTTTCTTATATAATTTGAAATCGGAAAAAATATATTTTAAAAACGTACAAATCTTTGGTCTGGTCAACGTCGTGCGGGACAGCAGCTATAGTATATAATATTATAATATAATATTAATAATATTTACATTTATTATGATCTACATATTCTATAAACGACAGTGAGGACGCGTATAGTAGCCGCAATGGAACCTTCGCCCGGTTAATCGCAGCTCTGTGCACACACATGTTATACATGTGTATAATAATTACTAAGTAGTATGTAGTATATAATAGCAAACACAATTAATCAAGCCGGTATGCAGGTCGATATAAAGATAGTTATGTATTTATATGTATATGTATTATATGGAAATCATATACGCATAATAATAATAATTATAATATTATTATGTATATTATTATGGACGACCGATACCGCGCCGAATGATATAGATTTAGGTACCAGCTATGTGCGTACAAAATATAATATAATATGATTTACAGCATAATAAATTTGAAACGGTTTTCTACCGGCGTGCACGGTCTAAACTCTAAATATATACATTAAAATATTATATATTATATTTCACGTTTACGCGTCATGACGAATTTAATATGACGGGCCTCGGTATACGGACCGTAATAATTATTTTATAAGATCAAACTATAGGGGATCTATTGCGATAATAAATCCTCGAAAAAGTTTCGTTTATTTCGGCCCGTGTGCTGTGCACAGTCTAATAATATGTATATTGCATTCATTAGGTATTATATTGTATTATTATATTCATAATTACAAAAATATACTATACGACTATAAGCATCACAACGATTATAAGTAGGTACCTTGAACACCGCTCATCGAAAAAGAATGGAAAAGTGACTCGTATATTATTATTAGGGTTATAAGAAAATGTTTTTTGAATTAAATCAAATATAATTAAATTACCTAATTTTACATGAAAATCAGAAATTTACCAAACTTATTACTACTAAACGGACAACTATCGACCACGTCAGTCGATGTGCATATAGAAAAATGACTTCGGAACTTCATTAAATAAATTTGAATTGGTATTCCTAAAAATCTCTTAATAACTAAATATGCAATTATGTATTTATAATATGCATATTATTAATCAAAATATGCAAGCAAAATGTGAACCACATCGTGGGATTATATTATAGCTGACAACAAGTCATTTTGGAGTATAGAGAGAGGACTATATTAGAAATCCTAACCTTAAGTATTATATATTTTAGTATTTTACTATAATTATTTTTGATCGTGTGTCTTGGGCTGTAATATGGGGTGCTCAAGCTTAAAGATAAATGTCTTACCAAAACTCATGATACTGATGAAGTAGACTTTTGCAATAATAGTATGTATATCGGTGTATCGTAAAGTATTGTACAAAGTATTTATCCGACAACTTAAAACACAAGAAGCAAAACTACGTTAAAAAAAGATAGTTAATATAATATTCATTATCATACACTGTCAATAATATGTCAATAACAGGTATATGCATGTCATAAGTCGTTATGATTATGATGAGAAAAACAAAATTATAGAATAAACTACCTATACGAAGAACGATAATTTGTTTCGCAAATATAATATATATATCAACCGCTACAACAATAAATGAAATATCCCTCGACGCTCCTGACCGTTTCCTATAAAAAATTTTCACAAATTGTTTGAGGTTCCTCTGGGTAGCTCAAACTACAGTAAACGATACAAATAAGATTGGAATGGAGTCCAGCACAATGTATATTATAATATTAGTTATTATAATTGCTGGTCCAGCGTTTCTGCGTTGTGGACGACTGTCGTAATAATCCGATATAGTCCTGCAGTTTGCCTCGTCTAAGTCCTTATCTTCTCTGTTTGCGGCTTTTCTGACAAATTTTAATTTCATCTTTTGCCTACGGCTAGTGTTGTAATCAGCACACTCCATCTCGTCTCATTTCCTATAGTCCTCCACAGACCCACGGCCTTGAGCGGCCCATAAGCGATTAATATTATTGTTATCAATAAAAATCCGCCAAATATCATCAAATCAGTTTAGATATTTTCAATATTATAATTTTTTTTTTTTAACCAAAAAAAATATGTTCCACTTTTATGCACATGATTGTGGTAGTGGTAGAAGGGTTATATAACATAATATAAACAATTTAATTACAAACAAGAACTGAATAATCAATCTTTACAATTTTAAAATAATTATATAACTAATATTAAATTACAACAGTTAAATATAATTCCTTATTATTATTTATTCAAGTATTGGAAATACTCATTATTGAAGTACTTTCGATGTAACCGATACGCGGTCAATAATTTTGTCAATAAACCTATTGATCCAATAATATTGATCGCGTATGGGCCGCTTTAATACAACGCTCTTAACCATCAGTCTATTTTCCAGATGATATCAATAACCAATCTTTTCAAACCAGTCTTGCGTTCAATCGTTGCAGCCCGATGTTTTCGAATATTACAGATATTTTATTACAACCCACCAATAATAATAATAATAATAAATAGGCGTTCGAAAAGATAGGTGTCGATTCGGGGAACGGACATAATCCTTCTACACACATACACAAATCACGTCGACGTCCAACAGGTCGTCGGCATCGCCGTCGGTGCGTGTCGGAGTCGAGAGACATTATACGGTGCGTGTGCGCGCGCGTGAGTGTGTGCACCGTGCCTTGCCCGGCGTGGAGAAATAATAACAACGACATCGAAACTTACACCGCGCGAACTAAATACACGTCTCAGGGAGACGACAAAGTCATGATATTGCGGTGAGTGTGAGCGCGCGTGTGTGCGTGTGTGTGCGCGCACTCGGTGACAGCATATAATTTCATTTCGGTCACACTCGGGTGTCGTATTTCATTTCTGTACATGTTGCATTACATATACATGTACGGTGCAGGACGGCCGACCGGGCGGATTGGGTCCGGACCGATCTGGACTGTACCGGGGTGGGACGGGGTGTGTCGCGCGGTAGGTTTTGGTAAGGAGCGGAGAAATTCTCGCCACAAATAATATACATAATATAATATTATATATTTCTAAGCGTACATGTCACTGCCACGGCGGTGGTGCATGTTTGGAAGGTGCGTAAAACGAGAAGGCGACGAGGATGAGAGGAAAAAATAAGAAAACAACAACAACAACAACGACGACGACCTAATGTTGTATAATCTCGCAAGTAATGGATTTTATGCGTAGTAACCGGAGTTCCGTTTCGGTTTAGGCGTGCGGTTGCCGGCGGTCAACGACGAAGGTGGACCGCCGCACCTGTATATAAAACACACCGCCGCCGCCGCCACCTCTTGCTGCCGCAGTGCCGCGGTTCTGTTGCTTCTGCAGCCCGGTGCTCCTGCTACCCGCTCCTCCACCGCCGCCACGCCGCAGCATCGACGATTGCCGCGCGCGAGGAGCGGCGGCGGGTGAACAGTGCGACCTCGCCGGTAATTAGTGGACCGGGCAGGATGTGGTCGGAGTCTGGACTCGAGGACCAGGTGCGCGCCGTCAACCGACCCGCGAGCCGTTCACCCGCCCTCCAATCGTAGCCGTAGTCGTCGTCGTCGCCGTCGTCGGCCGCCGCCGCCGCCACCGCCTCATTCACCCGTCACTCGACCCCTCTCGCGCACCGTCTTCCCCCCGCCCGCGCAGCACCAACGGAACGCACCGCCCCACCGCCGCCACACCACGCGTCCATCCATCCGTCCGTCCGGCGGCCCGTTCATTCATAAAAACATCCCTACTACTATACATCATCCGGATCGGCGTCGGTGGTGCGTGCGTGTCGAAGGCCTCTCCACTCCGCACACATCCACGCACACACGTAAACACACTCGTACACACACTCATGTTCACGCACGCACACTCGCACACACATACGCGCGGGTTCTAGCGCGCGCGCACGCCGCTACACGCGCTCGCGAGCGCTTCGGTTTCTTGAATGGGGAAAACGCGCGCGGCAACTGCAGCAGCAGCGGCAGACGACGACGACGACGACACACACACAGACACATCGACCGCGATCGACAACGGTCACACACGCGCTTTGGTGTCGTACGCACACGCACACGAGTCAGCCGCTCCGCGTCGTCGATCTTTTCTACGTACACGTACAGATATAATAATTTTTTATTCGTTAATATTTTTACTCGATATCTCGTCTCTAGTGCGTTATTATCGAGATTTAATTGACACACGATAAATACATAATAAATCTTTGATTTTTTTTTCGAGCGTGCGTATTTTTTTTTCGCGCGTTTTACCGACTCGGTTCAATCGGATCAAAACATCAAACTATATACGCAGACACATCTGTCGTCGCTTTCGAAATAGGTATGCAAACGGTTTGAGTGAAAAAAAAACCGTAACAATAACATTATATATACCGCATACACATCGCATACAATATAATTTACGGAACACGCGCGCACGACAAGTGTTCTTCTTCTCCGATCAAGTTCGCGTGAAAATCGTTTTTGGGGGCCGGTGATGCGTGATGGTCGGACCGCGCGCGTTAACGGTGATGTTTTACGTGGCGGCTGCGTTGACGTTGGCTGCGGCTGCAGTGGCGGCGACGGCAGAGGCGCCGGAGTTTGTGGAGTTGACGACTTTCAACGTCAACAACAACAACAACAATATCGACCACAACAACAACAACAACAACGGCAGCGAGAGCAGTCACGACGACCGGCGACCGACGACCGGGCCACCCGCCTTGGTTGACCAACAACCGCCGCAGCAACAGCAACAACAACAACCACAGCCCAGGAGGTTCAGGCACGAGGCGTCCGCGATCAGAGTCATCTATCAGACAGGGGTGAATATATTTTTTGAAAATTTTCCACCATATTTTTACCTGCCATATCATATCATAAAATATATAATTACGGACGAAAATGTTCAAATCGCATAGTGTCGATATCGTTAAAACTGTACAGTCATATTTCTGAGTAAATTATATTATTATTATTATAACTTTATAAGTCCGTCTCGTATACGATGATGATGATGATGATAATAATATTTTAAGCACCACTGGTACAGTAGCTTGCTATAGTAATATAACGATCGTGCAGCAGTGAAGTGTGTGTTTGTGTGTGCGTTCGTGCTAAGACCCGCGGGCCGCAGTCGCGGCCAACTAGGCGCCTTTATAACTTTGTCGCGGACAGGCGCCACCATAATATATATAATATATACGCGCACAAACAGCCAGAGCAGAGATTGTATAGACCGATACGTACTTCATGTGTGTGTGTGTGTGTTTTTTTTCTTTCTATTATTATTATTATTATTATTGTGCGTATCTACCTATGGACAATATATATATAATATATAAAATACACGATGTAAACCAGATTGGTGGTAGGCAGTTTGAATAGGAAGCTGGTTTGACCGGATCGTGTGTGTGTGTGTGTGTTTGTGTCTTAGCGTATACCCAAGTACGCGTTGTGTGCATATAAGATAATATTATAATATATAACATTAACACAATATAATATTATATAATATTGTTAATATTATTATCATCGTGGTCCCGGCGAGGGTTCCCCCTGGACCTTCTCGGATAACGAATGCAAATATCGCAGGAATATTATTATCTTACATTTCCCGGGGGTGGCTTGACGCTCTCGTACGCCGTTCGTATGTATTCTCTGCGATGCGTCTATACCCTGACCTCCGCCCCGCGGTTCTGAATCCGATCTACATAGTAAATAATAAAAATAATTTATTTGGGAAAAAACAAAATAGTGTACATTTTAAAACATTATTATTTTTATTTTTCTACTACCCCCTTATATTAAAGAAGTTTTTAAGTAAGTGTAAATCGATAGGTAAAGTATAATATAACATGACAATAATATTATATTTATATTATTTTAATTAGAACGCACATGCTCATATACTAAACTGTATTTACGATCTCTTCATTACCCATGCACAATAAATCAATAGATATTTTAGTACAATCTAATGTTTTTTCGATTTAAATAAACACAGATTACAAAAAATTAGGTACTTACCTATAATATCGATCGTATGTATTCTACATCTTATTTGAATAGCGGTTACTTCAGATAAGGCATGCAGGCATACACATTTATATACATTACAAAGCGTACCCGATGGTTATTATATAATACACACATAACATATTATATTAATACATTTGTATGTGCCGACTGTCGAAGAACTCGTGCTCGTATATACATGAAATCTACAATATATATATATATTAAATGTATAATTTGACGTGTGGAGACGCTATACGAATTAAGCGGCCGTTGGCCTATACGTACCTACATAATATACTTTGTAATAATAATATAATACCTTTTCAGAATTTACCCCCCCCCCCCCAACGATCCGTCGCCGATGATGGGTCGTAGGGTATTGCTCTCGAATGTCCAACACTCGATAGTATATTATAATATTCACGTACATATAATATATAGGTGCATTAAATTATTATATATATATATATAACTGTCGTCGTGAATAGGTTAGAAGCATATATAGAACGGCCTACAGGTATTGATCACTTTAGTGATTCAAAAGTGAGTAGGTACACTAAATGTAGTTATAAACATATGCACTATCGTATTACTGATGTACTGATGGATCGATTTCGACGAGGGTGTAAGGGGAATATAATATTGTTTTTACTGCTTGGTGAACCGAAATTTTATTTTTAGGGTGAATAATATTACGTTTAAATGTTGTACTCGAATGTAGAGCAAAATATGTTGGCCAATCGCTCGCTGACCCGTTATACATATATATCTATAATATAATATTATGATTGCTAGACGAAAACTTTAAGTCGTCAACAAACTTCGGTCTGCAGAAGGAAGCTCGAGGTATATTATGCTATGGAATTAACGATGCTCGTGTGATAGAACTATGGCGACGATCATATGGGTGGACGTATAGACGTGTAGTTCGTAGGGGGACTTTCGATGTACGATTTATAGGTACCTAAACCTAATCATATTTGAATATCAGTAATATGCAGTGCCCTGCAATACCACGTAACTTCAAACTGCAGCGATCAATTACGAAAATCGTTTTTAAAACAAACGTTCCACATACATATACGCGTCATTTAGCTATGTATAGAACTTGACCGTTGCACTATAATACGCATCGTCGTCGTCGCCCCGTCATTATAATAATATTATTCGGTCGTGACTCGTGATCGCTGCCTCGCCATTAGAGACATTAATGAACGATGATGGCGTATAGTGAGATGGAATTTTTTTTTCATATTTTTTTTAATTCGTACAAACGTAATTGAATTACCGTTAATAAGGCGCCGGGCGTCTCTTATGATATGATATAATCGTCCCTTGTTCGCAATCTCGTCGTTACGTTACTGCAGACATGATGGTCATATAGTGTATTATGGCCTGTAACGCAGTTTACATTCTAAAATAAGCGTTAATCGTTGTCAAGATAATAATATGCGATTTGTAAAAACAATAGTTTTATTTTTACCTTTTTAAAATTTTTTTTCGGACTTAATTCGTGTGTTATACATTTAAAATATTATACCTAAAGATATTATAGGTACTTAAGTAGGTACATTTTGAATTATTCAAAACGCATTCACGTTTTCCTAAATAATCCGACTATATAGGTATATGTGTTTATCGTACTCTATATAGACGATACGACCCTATTATATTATACTGTGTTTCAGTGGTCGTTTGGCCTGCTGTCACTTATATATAAATCTATCTGAACTATAAAGACTGCGTTTACGGGTATTTAATTTCTCATTTTAAATTATAATAAATACATAAAAATTTTAAAATATTTTAACATAACTACGAAAGACGTTTTAATGTATTGAAATTAATGTAAATGTGATTTCTCATCTATATAAATAGTTTCCGATTGAGTAATACTGACTTTTAGTTTATTAAAATAATCATCTCGAGACATATATGATATAATAACAATCTTTATATCATAATAAATAATAACTGTAATGTGTATTGTATAGCGTTCGGCACAGTATGAATAAAATCGTTAGATTTTTTTTATGGATACAGTAAAAATAAAACTACCTACATCGCATTCTTAGATCTAACTTCTTGCGTATAATATATTACAGGTAAGAACTAATAAAGATGTACCTACTTTAGTATAACTAAAAAAATGTATACCTAAACTATTAAATTAGGTATACATTATGATTGATATTTATTTCTAAAACATGCAGTTCGAGTTCTTGTACTTATATAAACTCATTTAGTATTTACCTACCGTGTTTATTTTGTGTACCTAATTTGTTTTCTTAGACACATGTAGTTGAGTAGTCGTGTACACATTATTATGTTTAGAAAACACTATATGATTAAGTTGTATAGACGTTAATAATTAGAGAGCACTTAAAGAGCATTATAATACTCTAGTCTAGTACAATATTATCAAATGAGAAATTTAAAAGAGTGAAAATATATTATTATACATTTACTTATATGCATAAACGAATATTTTGATACGAAAAGAGTATTCTCCAATGATTTTTTTGTTTACACACATACAACACACCCGTTTAAATATTGTGTACTGAAGTATACTGATTACTGAAAAAAAGAAATATATTTATTATAATTAAAACAATTTTCATTTCAGACGGTTTAAAAATAATAAGCAGTCTTAATAATATATAATATTTCACATGGGTATACACGAATAATAATTATTGTTTAACGCACTTTAAATTGCATATAGGTTATAGGTACCTAGGTACTATACCCAAGTTACCGAATGCACACAAGTTTTACGTATCAATGTATACCCATATGGTTTGGGATATATTATTATTATGCATATCGTATATACATCATATGCTGCAGTTATACATTTCTAACAGAATCGCATTCGGAATTCGAACATATAAACTTTCACATTTAAATATAAATACAGCGCGGTGGGTATACATACTTGTTACTGTACTTATGTTATAAATAATATTATATATGTCTGAAAAGGCATTAGCGTGGAAATTCTCTGAAAAACTTTGCAAATATGTACTTATATAATACACAAACATAATAATAACACTATATAGTGTGTTACAATCTGCCGGTCACTATAATAATTTGTAATAAAATATAATAAAACGGTAAAATATTATTGTAATAGTACAATAAATTATACACACACACACACCCTCTCACATTTGTAATTACTAATTATAATAGATTTTCACGCCACGCTCAAACGCCTTAAAATGTCCACCCCATCGTCAGACTTATACATCGGTCGTCGTCGTCGGGGGGTTGTTGTGCAACACTCGGGTATGACGATGATAATATTATAATAACAACAACGATTATATTATTGTACTAACCACCTGTGCGTGTGCCGCGTTATCAATAAATAAATTGTAATACTGTCGATGTGCGGCATTTTTTATTTCGCCGTGTCATCGACCAGACGAAATTTTACACCTATATGGCGACAATTACAGTCGACACGCGGACGCGTATAATAAAATATATATTATTTTACGCACATACGATATACCTAATAACGGCCGCCGAGTTACACAATGTTTCGGTTACCTGTGCCATATATAGTGTATTAGTATATATATCTAGTGTAAACTTCCTGGTGGTGTGAATTCGACAGGTAAATTTTTTTTTTTTTTTGTTTGTTCCGATTTCGTCGGCTCGTATATTATAATATAATATATATATATGTCCACGCACTTCCTGTCCGAGTGGTAAACGAATTATTTTCTCTCGGGTCTCTTATAACACGCGGCGGCGTCGTAATATACGTACCTACCTACGCGTACATTAT